ACACCCGGGCATGTGTCCTGACTGGGAATAGAACCAACAACTTCTTGGTACATAGGAGATGCCCAACCAAATGAGCCATACTGGCCAGGGCAAAAGTTCTTTATTTTAATGAAGTTCATTTATCTGTTCCTTTTTTTTTTTTTTTTTTTTAAGGTTGTGCTTTTGGTGTTCTATCTAAGAAACCAATTGCTAATCCAAAGTCAGGAAGATTTATATCTGGTTTTTTTTTGTGTGTGTTTTTTTAAGAGCTAATAGTTGTATCTGTTAAATTTAGGTCTTTGATCTATTTTGAGTTAGTTTCTGTATCTTGTGAGGTAGGACTCTTATCTTCATCCTAAGTATTTTACTCTAATGCTATTGTAAATGGAACTGTTTTCTTAATTTCATTTTCAGATTATTCATTGTAAGTATATAGAAATATAATAGATATTTTTATATTGATCTTTTATCCTACAACCTTGCTGCATTTATTTTGTTGTTCTGATAGGTGTGGGTTTTTGTTTTTTGTATTATGAGCTCCTTAGGATTTTCTTTATACAAAACTATGTCACCTGCAAATAGAGATAGTTTTACTTTTCCTTTCCAATCTGTATGCTTTTTATTTCCTTTTCTTGCATAATTTTAGGACCTTCAGTATAATGTTGAATGGAAGTGGTAAGAGAAACATCTTTGTCTTATTCCTGATTTTAGAGGGAAAATATTCAGACTTTCAACATTAATTATGATACGAACTGGGTTTGTCATAGGTGACCTTTATCCGGTTAAGGAAGTTCTATAAAAATTTTTATACCTTATCCTGTATTATAAGCATCCTTCTATGTGATTAATATATCTTTAAACTATAATTTTTAATGGCTGCATATTCAGTGATTAAAATGTCACATGTAATATGTGGTTAAAGGCTGTACTCCTGAGTCAGTTTTTAATTTGAAGCCATACTTTGTCACTTACTATGTGTGAAATGCTGAGAAAGATGTTACTTTTCTGAACTGGTTTTCAGTTATACAAAAATGAAGATAATGCTTTACTACTTTGTAAAATTGGGATGAGGATTAAGTGAAATAATAGGTAATGCATGTAAAACACTCAACACAGTCATATTGAAGGCACCTAATGGATGGTAGCTACTATAATCTCTATATATACACTGAGTGGCCAGATTATTATGACCGGCCAGATTATTATGACCACCCCATCAGTACTTTGTTGGGCCACCTTTTGCCTTCAATACTGTGGCGATTCTTCTTGGCATTGACTCCACGAGATGTTGAAAGGTGATGCGAGGAATCTGACACCATGCCTGATGAATAGCACTGTCCAGTTCTGTGAGATTTGATGGTTGTGGAACCAGCTGCCTGATGGCTCTTTTAACTTCGTCCCACAAATGCTCAATTGGATTGAGATCTGGTGACTGTGGGGGCCACCTAAGCAAGGTAAAGTCTCCCTCATGTTCTTGAAACCACTCCTGCACAATACGAGCACCGTGGCATGGCGCATTGTTTTGTTGGAAGAAGCCATCTCCATTGGGATACGCCATCAACATGATAGGATGAACTTGATCAGCAACGATACTTAGGTATGTTGTGCTATTCAGACGTTTATAATGATCTGGCCCTCTAGCAACTTCAGCGCAAAATTATAGCTAATTTGCCTACAAACATCAGGTGATCATAATAATCTGGCCACTCGGTGTAAAAGGCTAATATGCTAAGTGTCTGTCTGGGTAATGACATCATGTAGCAATGCCTGGCTTCCTCTCCTTAGCGACAACTAGCCTCCTTGCAGTTTCTTCATTCCAGGAACACAACTTGCTTTATAGCCAGGTGGAAACATTTCACACTGTAACCAAATGTCTGTGAAGTGTTTTCCTGTGCCTCATCTCATTTGATCCTCACAGAAGTCCTGGAGTAGGTAGGTAGGAGACTCGGTGGAATCGTATTTTCTTTTCATTAGCCGGAAAACGGAGATTTAGAAAGGTTAGAATCTTGACCCGACTGAAAAGAAGTAAGAAATGGTGGACCTTGAAAATGACTTCAGGTTTCTCACTGCGCAGAATATAGTCAAACATTGCTGCAGTTACCCTTTGTTCTCCCTGCATGATCTACAATAATTACCTGCTTTGTGTTGATATTTACTGCTGTGTTGCTGACAATTACCTGAAAGAGAAATTGGGGTGCTTCACTGGGCTGGACAAAGTTTAGCTAAATCAGAAAGCAGGCCTAATTAAGTAACTATATTCTATATCTATAAAAGGCTAAGTTGACTCGTGCATACGCAATACATGTAAAGCTCTCACTGGCACCAATCGCACGCGTGTGTTTCCATCTGTCATTGTTGATCATGAATTTGGTTGACACTTCTATTATAGAGAAAGGGCGAATAGCAATATTAAAATATTTCTTCAAATTAATTTCCTTTCGATGTGCACGAATTCATGCACCAGGCCACTAGCTATAATATTGTTTCAGGAGACATTGTTTACAGTGTTTATTTCTGTAATTAAACCCTTACATTTAAATTTTTGTGCTTATTTGATTCTTTATTTCTCAGACTGGAATAACTGGGTTAACCTTTTTCTTTTTGAGAAAGCCAGCACCTATAGCAAATTTTTTTTTTAATCCAGATAAATTTATCATATTTGAACTATAGATTGGGATGGGGATTTTGTGGGAAATCAAGTTGGAAAGTAAATTGAAGCTAGGTTTTATTTTTTTAATCTTTATTATTGAAAGTATTACATATGTTCCCTTTTTCCCCTCATTGACCCCCCTCCAGTCTTCCCCTGCCCCCCAGACCCAGGCCTTTTACCACCCTATTGTCCGTGTCCATGGAGGCTAGGTTTTAGACCTCAAGCATCAGTCTAACAATCTCAGATTTTTTTTTCTTCAGGCCCATGGGAGGCCATTGAAGGTTTGAACAGAGGAGAGGTCCTGGTAATAACTTAGGAAGATTAATCTTCTTTGCTCCTGAGGTCGTTCCTGACCATTCTTGACTTATTGGGGCTCCCTGCTTTGTGCTTACTAGGTGTATAGGTTAACAATGCGGATTTTGTAATCAAAGAAAACACGATAATTTCAAGAGAAACATCTAAAGTGCTTTATTCAAAGTAATGTCCATCGCTAGCTACACATTTCCCCCATCTTTCAGGTAATTTGTGGATACCGTCCCAATAGAACTTTTCTTGTTTTGAGGCAAACAATTCAGAGACCCAATTTTCTTTGTATGTTTTGAAGTGCTGCTCAGAAAGTGCTATGCCATCAATCGGAACAAGTGGTAATCTGAAGGAGCAAGGTCGGTGAATACAGCGGGTGGGTTAATACTTCCCAGGCAAGATCTTTTAACGTGTCTTTAACTGGTTTTGAAGTGTGTGATGGTGCGTCATCATGAAGCAAAATTACTTTGCCGTGTCTTCTGGCCCTTTCTGGTCGTTTTACGACCAAAATGTGGTTCAAATTGATTATTTGTTGTCAGTAGCGATCAGTATTAACGGTTTTACCTAGTTTTACAAGTTTATAATACACCACACCTTCCTGATCCCACCAAACGCAAAGCATTTTCTTCTTTCTGAAGCGATTTGGCCTTGCTGTCGCTGTTGATGGTTGACCTGGATCGACCCATGATTTTGTGCATTTGGGATTCTCAAAATAAATCCACTCTTCATCGCCAGTCACAATTAGATGCAAAAAAAAACTTTCTTTCCTGCCGTTGAAGCAACATTTTACTGATGACTTTTCGGTTTTCCATTTGTCTTTCGTTCATTTGATGTGGCACCCATTTTCCTTCCTTTAAAATCTTTCCCATTCCTTGTCAACGATCGGAAATTGTTTGCTGAGCAACATTTAATCTTTCTGCAAGTTGTTTTTTAATTTGACAAGCATCTTCATCCAATAATGCTTGTAATTGTTGGTCTTCAAACTTTTTCGGTTGACTTGGACGTTCTTTGTCTTCACATTGAAATTATCACTTTTAAAGCATTTAAACCAGCGTTCACAAGTATCTTGAGATGGAGCACGTTCACCATAAGCTTCCCGAAGTATACAATAACTTTCAGCAGCACTTATCTTCAAAATAAAGTAGTGAATTAAAACTTCCCGTGAATGTTTTTTGGCACGAAATTTGATATTTTTAAGCGTAAAAATATCTATGATGTTAACACCTTCAGGAAATTTGACATATGAGGTTTTGAAGTTTGTTGTCAATACAACAAAATAGCATACATATCCAATTGCATATATATCAACCTATGTGTGACTCCATCTATTGAAAAAATTCTGCATTATTAACCGGTACACCTGGTACACACTACCCAGTATGCCTTCTATTATAGTATTTAATAGGCTTTATGTAAATCTTTGTTTAAATGTACTCTTCTCCTACTTCTTAAGAATATGGTCACATCTTATATTGCCTAAAAAAGTATCTAGCATATGGTACACTTGTTATCAGTGCACCACCTGTTGCTCTTGGGAGTGGGCTTCTTGCAATATCCAGAGAAAAGGAATTTTCTGAGACTCACATGGGAGGATGGGATATTGTAGAAAGTTTTATTTCTGTGAAATCAAACCCCTGAGTTTCCATGGTCCCATTTCCCTTCGTCCCCCAAGGAAGAAGTATAGCCATAGCTTCAGCAAAGCTAGTGTCCAGAATTCTCACTCCATATTGGAGCAGTGTCCAGACCAGCATCAAGCTAGCTTAGATTGTGTTCCTTGCTGCAGTTCATTAGTCCATTGTGTGTGTGGGCCCACAGGCCACATGGTTATGGAGGAAACATGGGCAGGAGCAAAGCCAAAGGAACCAGAGAGCCAAGAAAGCCCCAACCCAAAAGCTCCAAGAACCAAGAGAGAGCAAATTCCTTTGGGGGATTATATATTGCCAAATTGTCGCAGGCTTGCATTGGCTCCATCCCTTTGAATGTGGAAATGAATGTTTTGTTCTTTACTTTTCTGGAAACTAACTCGTTGGCTTTTGTGTTTCCTTTATGTTTCGTCCTGGGCTCCAAGGAGGAGGCATCTCCCTATTCCTTACTTGATATCTGCTTGAATTTCCTGACTACACATCTTGAGAAGTTCTGTTCAGCAAGACAAGATGGAACATTGTGTTTGCAAGAACCTGGAGTATTCCCACAGGAAGTGGCTGATCGACTGCTTCAGACCATGGCCTTTCATGGTAAAAAATAATATAATCAGAGAAAACAAAAATCTGTGCTGTTAATTGGCACTGGGTTTTGAAGTGCTACTGTATTCATTTAATTATTTTCTTAGAAATAACAGCAAAGGCCAGATGAGCCCGATTCCAGGAAAATAATTTTATTTATTTTTGCCTACCCTGCCACTTTTCTGTAATTTGGAATAAGCATTTTTCTTTTTTAATGTGGGCAAATTGCTTTTTTGTCTCTCCTCCTCCTCCTCCTCTTCCTCCTCCTTCTCTTCTTCTATAAAAAATGTGCCTTACATCTTTATTTGGCAGTGGGAGAATCAATAAAAAATACACCTTACATCTTTATTTGGCAGTGGGAGGATCAATAAATACTATTATAGAAACACTGTTTCTGCTTTTGACCTTTGAAATGGGAAATCATAGCTAATGGGAAATCATAGTACTTCTGTCTTAAAAAACAAATTCTAAAAATAAAGTGGGAAGTCTCATCTGTGAGATTCTGGTTATGTATATTTCTTACTTCTGTTTAAGGTTTGAGTTGAAGAGATATAATACCTTTAGGTCCTGGCCAGGTAGCTCAGTTAGTTAGAGTGTCTTCCTGATATGCCAAAGTTGTGGATTCAATCCCTGGTCAGGGCACATACAAGAAGCAACTAATGAATGCATAAATAAGTGGAACAACAAATCAGTTTTCTTTTTCTCTTTCTTTCTCTCTCTGTCTTAAACTCGATATATACATTTTTTTAAAAGAAAGACATAAAATACATTTCTATATAGGGTTTATAAAATCTTACAGTAGGAAATACAATTTGTTTACAACTATAAAGTACTGTAGAATGAAAATATGACAATAATATCATTTATTGATTGCTTGCTGCATGCCAGTTACATTATATGTTTTCCTTAAATTTTCTCAAAAAACTATATAAGAAAGCTATTATTATCCCATTTATATACAGATAACGAACTGAGGTTCAGAGAAGTAACTTGTTAAGGGTTACACTGCTAATAAATGGTAGAATCCTGGTTCAAATGCAGATATGTCTGATTCCAAGTCTATGCTCTTTTCCTGTGCCACACAACATTTTCTACACTCACATTATAGGCATCCCTGCTCCTAGATGGCAATAATGATATATACACTTAAATATATATATTTAAAGCATACATATAGATAATGCATGCCAAGGAAGGGTAAGATAAATAAGCCTGTAACAAAGTCACTTTGGGATAATTTAGTAAAAAAGAAGACTTCTATACTCCTTCGTTTTCTCTAAATTGCTCAAGTCTGTAGTCTCTTTGAATTCTTCCAGCCTGTCAAGGGAACTAAGGTAAATTTCAATAGGTACTATATGTGTTAAAGTTCAAGGTTCCTAACAAAGCTGCACAACAATTTTAGAGATTATGACAGTGCTAACATTTCTTTCTAGTTTCAATTTAATGATTATCTTTAGCATATTAAATTTAATACATTAAATATATATGAGCATATTCCATTTAAATATATATTTAAGTATATGTACAACTAGTCTTGTAAATCAAAAGAATATATGTTAACTAAAGTTTTAACTTTGCCAGATTCCTAATGATAGCAGTTAACAGTATTGATTGAATGCTTATTATCTATCTATCTATTTAAAAGGCTAATATGCTAAGTGTTCGTCTGGGTAATGATGTCACGTAGCAACGCCCAGCTTCCTCTCCTTAGCGACGACTAGCTCCTTTCAGTTTCTTCATTCCAGGAACACAACTTGCTTTATAGCCAGGTGGAAACATTTCAACTATAACCAAATGTCTGTGAAGTGTTTTCCCGTACCTCATCTCATTTGATCCTCACAGAAGTCCTGGAGTAGGTAGGTAGGAGACTCGGTGGAATCGTATTTTCTTTTCATTAGCCGGAAAACGGAGATTTAGAAAGTTTAGAATCTTGACCCGACTGAAAAGAAGTAAGAAATGGTGGACCTTGAAAATGACTTCAGGTTTTCTCACTGTGCAGAATATAGTCAAACACTGCTGCGGTTAAATATCTTACCCTTTATTCTCCCTGCCTCATCTACAATAATAATCTGCTTTGTGTTGATATTTACTGCTGTGTTGCTGACAATTACCTGAAAGAGAAATTGGGGTGCTTCACTGGGCTGGACAAAGTTTAGCTAAATCAGAAAGCAGGCCTAATTAAGTAACTATATTCTATATCTATAAAAGGCTAAGTTGACTCGTGCATACGCAATACATGTAAAGCTCTCACTGGCACCAATCACACGCGTGTGTTTCCATCTGTCATTGTTGATCATGAATTTGGTTGACACTTCTATTATAGAGAAAGGGTGAATAGCAATATTAAAATAGTTGTTCTAATTAATTTCCTTTCAATGAGCACTAATTTGTGTACCGGGCCACTAGTTGTATAATAAAGCACTGTGGCAAGTGCTTTAAATCAAGCATGTTAAGCTCATGGGCAGCATGCAGCCCACAATGAATATTTTTGGGGCCCAGCCAATATAACAGTATGTAAGAAACATTTTAATAAAAATTACGTAACTTAATTTTTACAATATCCTGTTATATATAACTAGAGGCCTGTTGCACGAAAAGATTCATGCAATAGGCCTGGGTCCCGGGTGCTGGAGGAAAATCGGTGCTGCTCTGGCTGGAGCCGCCTTCAAAGACCTCGCTGCTCCAGCCGGAGCCGCCTTCAGTTTTCGCTCCGCTGCTTCATGCCTACATATGCAAATTAACCGCCATCTTTGTTGGCAGTTAATTTGCATATCTCGCTGATTAGCCAATGGGTGGCGTAGCGAAGGTACGGTCAATTTCCATCTTTGTCTATTATTAGATAGGATTATTAATAATGAACTACAACATTCGCTAATTACTGATTACTATAATTGTGTTGCATTCATTTCCCTTACATGTCTTACATGCGGGTGCACCATTTCTCTCCACTAATACTAGCAGCGAATATTTTAGTAGCTGATTGCCACATCATTAGTCTTGGACTGACTTGTTTGGTGTGTGCAACAGGAAATATTTCGCTTTTGGAGGACAAGAAAAATAGGTTTATTTGCATTATGCTTATTAATTTGTGCAGTTATTCAGTGTCTGGTAAGTTAATGTTCAAGAAAAAATATTAATTTTTATTAAAATGTTCTATTATTTTATGTTAAATATTTTAGTAGCTGATTGCCACATCATTAGTCTTGGACTGACTTGTTTGGTGTGTGCAACAGGAAATATTTCGCTTTTGGAGGACAAGAAAAATAGGTTTATTTGCATTATGCTTATTAATTTGTGCAGTTATTCAGTGTCTGGTAAGTTAATGTTCAAGAAAAAATATTAATTTTTATTAATATGGTCTATTATTTTATGTTAACGATTACTCATTTCAGCCCTTTGTATTCAGCATGTCTCTATCAAAATAAACCTATGTTTCTATGAAAATTGAAGCTTTTGTTTTTTTGTGATCCACATAAACTTAAACCTTGTTTATTTGGCTCCTGTTAGTCTGTTAGCCTGAGTTTGACATGCTTGCTTTGAATAGATAAACTAATGCAAGTTGTTTTTAAGTCACTCTAACTAGATAATTATCCTCTGGAGTAGTGACTTGGAGAGGCTATATGCTTGATCAAAATGTGTTTTCTACTACTTCTTTTCAAGCTGCCTTCAGATGAGAAAACTGAGGGTCAGAGAAGTAACCTGCTGCCCCCATTTGTGTTATCCCAATGTGATTACCTGCATTATTCACCAAAAAGTATTCTAAATTATTTAATCTCTTTGTCAAAATCATATCCACCTTTAAATAATCAAGAGTGGATACTACTAATATGCAAAAGAACATATTGCCAGTTCTTGTCACAATTTTATAAAGTTTCATACATTTTTCTGTGTTTAAAATTTTTCATAAGCCGAAACCGGTTTGGCTCAGTGGATAGAGCGTCGACCTGCGGACTGAAGGGTCCCAGGTTCGATTCCGGTCAGGGGCATGTACCTGGGTTGCGGGCACATCCCCTGTGGGAGATGTGCAGGAGGCAGCTTATAGATGTTTCTCTCGCTCATCGATGTTTCTAACTCTCTATCTCTCTCCCTTCCTCTCTGTAAAAAATCAATAAAATATATTTAAAAAAAAAATTTTCATAATAAAATGTTTTGGGAAAAATGTTCCATGAATGCTTTTAAAATTGGTAATATCAGCCTGGCTGGTGTGGTCATGGCTCAGTGATTGAGTGTTGACCCATGAACCAAGAGGTTGCCAGTTCGATTCCCTTTCAGGGCATATGCCCAAGTTGTGGGCTAATTCCCAATGGGAGGCATGCAGGAGGCAGCCAATCAGTGTTACTGTCTCTCTATCCCTCTCCTTTCCTCTCTAAAAGAATCAATGAAATTGATAATATATTTTTCTAATAGCATAATGATTTTAAAAAATTACATTTACAAATTTTTTACTTATTTACCAAATTCAAAGGATTAATGATATTGTTAATAGTCTTTATTAAAATAAACCTGATGCTCCCCTGGCCAGTGTTGTTCAGTGGTTAGAGTTTCACCCTTTACATCGAAGAGTTACGGGTTTGATTCCCAATCAGGGCTCATACCCAGGTTGGGAGTTTGATCCCCAGTCAGGGTGAGTGTGAGGCAACTGATCAATGTTTCTCTCTCCCATCAATGTTTCTCTCCCTTCCTCTCTTTCTAGAATCAATGGAAAACATATCCTCAGGTGAGGATTTAAAATAATAATCTAACCGGTTTGGCTCAGTGGATAGAGTGTCGGCCTGCGGACTCAAGGGTCCCAGGTTTGATTTCGGCCAAGGGCATGTACCTTGGTTGCGGGCACATACCCAGTAGGGAGTGTGCAGGAGGCAGCTGATTGCTGTTTCTAACTCTCTATCTCTCTCCCTCTCTGTAAAAAAATCAATAAAATATATTTTTAAAATAATAATCCTTATCTAATAATAGAGAAACATGGTAATTAACCGTAACTTTGCTACCCTTCCCATTGGCTAATCAGCGAG